ATTTTTATAGAAATAATTCATATATAAAATCAGTTCCTTAAAGTTATTCTTTTCCTTCACAATTGAACACACATAATCCATATGTAGCCCTACAGTTCTCCCATCCTCTACCACAGTGGTTCTCAACCTGTGGGTCACGACCCCTTTGGCAGTTGAAGGACCCTTTCACAGGGGTCGCCTAAGACCATCCTGCATATCAGATATTTACATTACGATTCATAACAGTAGCAACATTACAGTATGAAGTAGCAACAAAAATAATTTTATGGTTGGGTCACAACATGAGGAACTGTATTTAAAGGGCCCGAAGGTTGAGAACCACTGTTCTACCATGAAGAAGGAAAACAATTATAATCTGAACAGGCTGCATTGGTGGTTGAGCAGTGTGCAGGGGAAATGTGTTACCATCACAGGTTCTGTCCTCTTCCTGTTTCTCTCTTCTATGCAGCTCCATAGGAAAGTTGAACAAGGTGAAGCACTGGGTCAGGCCAGCCACCGTCTCTCATTTTGGCTTTAATGTCCCACTCCTGCCTCAGCGGAGTACATAAGTAGAATCAAGTGTCCTTCTGCAGAAATTGCTCTCTTTACTTTTCCCCACCTACCAGTCCAAGTGATAGAGTGTGTCAGTGAACTCGGTATTTAGCAGAACCTGCCATCTGTCCATCTCTCTTCCCACGCAGACCTACTCACCAGGCTGTGAGCTCTTCAGACATGAGCAGTGTAGGCATTACAAGTGCCGACTCTAAAGGTGGAAAGGCTGGCTGCAAACAACCGCTCTGCCACGCCCTGGCGGTGTGACCTTGAGCAAGTGATTTCTTCTGTGTCTCAGTGTTCTCCTGTGTAAAATAAGAGTGGTAACACTTTAACACCCGTTTTCCTGTTGTGAAGGTAAAATGAGTTGATGCGTGTAAATAGCTTAGAACAGTGGCGTGCGGAAGCATTCTGTTTTTTGGTATTTGTTTTTTCTCAGAGATGCTGTCATTTCTCCAAGTTGGTGTTGATTGTCTAGCTCCTGACCCTCTCTGCTCCCCCCACCCTCCACGCCCACCCTGGTCTCTCATTCGGCTCTGACATCTGCACTAGTGCTGGATGATTCCCCAGCACCCTGTGGCCCCCAAACACTGCCCAGAGAAAGCCTCTTGTGCATAACCCTAATACACCTCAGTGGTGCCAAAGAGTTTCCCTGCTCAGGAATCAGGTTACAACCAAGTGTGAGCCAGGGAGCCACTTTGTTTCTTTACAATGGTTTTACATATCTCTGGGCTGGTCTAATGTGTGTTTAGTTTATAGTCACATCTTCAAAGGGGAAACTTATTAAACTGTTTCTAAGGTTGTGAGGGAAATGTCATTGTTGCCGTATGGCCTGCCTATCATGCATTTCAGACATTCTACAAATACATTTTAAAATCAACTATATGCTAAACACTTAGTGTACAACATCAGAAAAAGTACAGCCCTCGTAGTGATATGCTCAGGTGATTCCAGTTTTTTTCCAAAGGGCTAATATATAAAATGACTACCCGGCCAGTGTGGCTCAGTAGTTGAGCATCAACCTATGAACCAGAAGGTCAAGGTTCAAGTCCTGGTCAAAAGCACATGCCTGGTTGCAGGCTCAATCCCCAGTGTAAGAGGCAGCCCATCAGTAATTCTCTCTCATCATGGATGCTTCGATCTCGCCCTATCCCTTTGTCTCTGAAATATATATATACATATATATATATATACATATATATAGACATATATATATATATACATATATGTCTACATATATATATATATACATATATATATACATATATATATATATACATATATATATATAAAATATTACCAATATTTATATATATATAAAATATTACCAATGTCATGACATTTTTGTAATATATTTTACCTAGAATAGTCTTTAATTTTATATTATAAAACTAGTATATATTTTTAACAGAGAAAATTAATATTTTAGTTTAGATATTAAACTTTAAAATTTTGTATTGTTTTAGCCTTTCTAGTTTGTCACATGAATAAGAGAAGAAAATATACAATTTAGATTGTAAATGGTCTATCTCTGCTTAATTAGAAGCCTATATTCAGTACAGCCTACTGTTACCTTACTGAAGGAAAGATGATATTAACAGCAAGGGGTTCTTGATATAAATACTGTGCCCGAAATATATATTGGAATTCTGTGTTTCAACTAGATAGTTGCACTGAATACAAATGGGAATGGAAGGGAGTGGGAGAGTTTTCTAAGGGATTATGTGGGATTTTCCATTATCTATCACAGACTTGGAGGAGGCGTCACGTATTCTAATTTCATTTGAGATGTATAATTCTTATTTTTTCTGAACCAGGAAAATGATATGAAAGGCTTTGACTAAACATGAACAAAAATGCATTCAGACATATTTCAATTTGGCAATTTATCTGTTTTTCCTCTTAGATCTGAAAATAAGTACAAGAGAAAAAGAAACAAAGATTTAACAAAAACACCTTTTTATTAAATGGCAAGCAAGGCAATGCTGAAAGCCTAAAATATACCTGTCTACAGGATGCAAAGTACAATAAGAGGGGGGGAATGCAGTGTTTAAAATTAGGTTAGAAATTTCCACATTTAATGAAGAAGAAGTAATGTTATCAGCTAAATCTCAACCTTAAACATTCAAAAGCCCAGAGGATGATTTACCTTCCCTATTCCCCTTATTCTGTTGTTTATAAAATGCCGTTGTAATATGCATCACACAACATTTATGAAACCAATCCATTCATTCATTCAATTGATTTTTCTTTTGAACTTCCTTTTCCATGTGATTTGTGAATGATCAGGTCTCCAGTATAAAATGAAATGGAAACAGAGAATTAGATGCGGCTTCTTGTGGGGTTTGCTTTTTGGTTTGGGGTTTTGTTGTTGTTGTTGTAGTTGCAGTTATCTCTGCCAATTTGGAACCTGATGGACGTATTGTTATATAGCATGTAGAAGGGCAGAAATAGATTTGGGGGGGGGGCTAAATCAACTGGACAATTGCCCTAATTGTATGCTTCAATGCTAAAGAAGATGCAGTTAGCATCAGGGAGAGAGCAGACATTCCCTGGCTGCCAAGATCTTCTTAAATCAAGATATCCCTACTCAAGTCAGTGGGTAGAGGCAGAAGGAAGCAAAATATCTCCCAATCTTTTAGCAATAACAATGCAGAGGGTGTTTTAAACATATTATTTCTCTTAGTACGATTGGGTCTGTACAAATGTGTCAACGTTTGCAAAGAGTGATGAGGAGTTAATGTATTCATCTTGTGAATTTGTTGACAAAAACTAGTGCCCTCTTATTCAAAAGAAAAGATGCCATTGTGTGAAATGCTGCACATCTATTTCATCTAATAGATATTTTTATTTGTTACCTACACATAATGCTTTTAATAAATACTGCAATTACTTTCTACCAATTCAGTCAACATTTTCTCTTCAGTCAGAGCAGTTTAATACATTTCTAATAACATTTTTTTGACCCAAACTGCCTGGAAAAATTGTAATTCCTTTTGCTTTTCCAAATAACATCAGAAATCCTCGTGTGTGAATTATATTTGTAAAATGATTCTCCACGCAGCTCTATTATAATTATAATGTCAATTATAATTCTATCTGTCCATTTCTTATGCACTTTAATTAGGTGGAGGAGATGAATAGCTAAAACTAAAACATTAGGATTAAGAGGTATCACTGTTATCATTCCTCTAGAAACACAGCCTTCGGGAACTAGGAATGTCTGTTCCGCATTTAGTAGCAGCCAGGAAAATGTTGGAGCATGTTAAGAGAGTTCGGTAAAAAATCAAAAAAAAAAATCTGGACTTTTAAATCTTCAGATCTGAAAATTCCACCTTCTGTTTTGAACTCTTATTTGAAAGGATGTCTGAAAAATACTCTTTCCTCAATCACACATATAAAGCAGTGAAAGGCTTATCTGCGTTCTAGAGATCAGGTAGTGCTGTCCTACGGAGTTGAAAAGAATCCAGTGTTTGTTGTTGGATTGTTATTATTTTTCATCATCTTGAATCCATAGTAAGTTAGGATAAGTTCAGCATACTTCTAGGAGAAAATAGAATCCTCAGAGAAATAAGCTAACTCATTCTTAGTGCTGAGATATGATTTAGGAGAAAACGTTTATCAAAGCATTGCTGGAAATACCTCATCTGGCTGGATGCTTCACTATGAATATAGTGTATCCTATTTAGTTCTCTATATATCAATTCTAATTATGTACATAAATACATTATTGCTTTAGGTAATTTTCTATGACTACTTATTACATAATATTTTATGGTAAGAATTTCAAGTCAAACCATTAGACAACATGTAAAGTTGATGCAGTTTTATCATTTGTAAATTGTACCATCTTCCTACTATCCAAGATGGAGAATGGCCATATCCACTTATTATTTAACACCGAGAATCTTGAAAAGTATTTAAATCCTCAGATTATAATGGTGACCTGCTCAGATGTCTTTTTATAAGGAAAGATTTAGGAGGTGTTGATGACAGGTTGGATAAAGGGAGATTAGAGAAAATGAGGGCACAGACCTGACCCTGGAATGGCGTTAGTGGGGAAAAAGAAGCACAGAGCAAACAGGCCCAAGTTAAAGACTTGCCAAAGCTAATCAGGGGCTTTGACCGCCAGACTTTGCTCATCACCATACTTTCCAGTTTTTAAAGCATCATCGGACTCAACTGAATTCATGCTCTTCTCTTTGAAGAAAGTACTCATTATGTCAATTGCAGGCTTCTGCTAATTGTGCAAAATATAGCCCTTCCCAGCTATGCAAACGTGGGTCTTTTTCAAATGGATACATATTAATTTACCATTTTCAAACTGGGAGAGAGAATATAAACGAATGAGAATGGGGGGAAAAAAAGGCTTCATTATAGAAATACACACTCAATGGCAGATTGCTCTTCTAAACCTCAGAAAGCATTTTGGAATATTTGGGGGTGGGGGAGACCACTCTTAGGACAAAATGAGCTTGCTGCTGGGGAACAATGTGGAAAACAGTGTTTCTCTGGAGGATAAGGTCATTGAAAGTTCAGTTCCCTGTAAAAGGGACGGTTAGTCTGACCCATAGTTTGGCTAGTCAAGTAGCTGGTCTATTCCTCCTATGTAATTACACTTCTGTTAGTTGTTTTAAAACACACACAGAAACAGGATGTATCTTTTTTGTGGTTTCTCTTTGATGAGTTTCTAAAGGGAATATTTTGAGGTTTTTCTCCTGATGGGGTGAAGGAAAGTAGAATACAGAGCAATTGGTATTGTGTGATGTTTTATACATGTGAATTACATTTTTTTTTCTGGGCAGAGAATTCAGAGTCTTGCAGAACCATATTTAAAGGACTTTGCTTTAAGAGAATGACTTGTGCTTTATCAAAAACTAAAGGCCCATTGCACAAAATTCATGCACTCAGGGGGTTCCTCAGCCCAGCCTGCACTCTCTTGCAGTCCGGGACCCCCTGGGGCATGTCCGCCTGCCGGCTTAGGCCCAGTGCCTGAGAAGCCAGACTCGCTGCTCCTTAGCACTGCCTCGGAGGCGGGAGAGGCTCCTGCCACCACTCCTGCCACCGCTGCTGCACTTGCCAGCCATGAGACCGGCTTCTGGCTGAGCAGCGCTCCCCCCTGTGTGAGCACACTGACCACCAGGGGCCAGCTCCTGCATTGAGCATCTGCCCCCTGGTGTTCAGTGTGCGTCATGGCAACTGGTCATTCTGGTCATTCCGCTGTAAAGGTCACTGGGTTTTTATATATATAGATGGTCACTCATATCAGGATGTAATTTTACTCAATGACTATAAGTTGATGTGCAAATTTATGAATATTCTCTTGTTTTGAGTTTATAGAGATTTTTTGATCCAGCCTTCCTTGCATTGTTTCCAGAGAACAATTGAAAGGCATGTGTGAAACACTCAAGGAACCTTCTCCAGTTTGGCTATAGATGAAGCACAGATGGCAGTTATGCACTCAGACTTGAAAAAAAGAATGCCAGGTCCTCAAACCTGGCTTCCTCCACCTACCAGCTTTTGACCATGAGAGAGTGATGATCATACCCCACACTGGGGATCGAGCCTAAAACCTAATCTACAGAATTTTTATAATAACTACTTCCAGGGCTTTTGTGAGATAAAATCAGTTAACTCATGTGAAGCACACACAGCAAAAAAGCCACAGTAAATGTTATTTATAAGTGTTAATTGTTATAATTATTGGATGTAAATATTATATTTTTAAATCTTTTTATCGAGAATACAATGAAAGATTACAAAGCCATCAGTTATGTGTAGCTTTTTTCCCACTTATCTATTTGAAGACAAACTTCTAGTTGATTAAAAACAACAACAACAAAATAAAAACAACAACCATGAATTAGACCTTGCGAATTATCACCTTAAAGACTACATAAATACAGAGTATTTGGTTTTAGCAAGTGTCAACTCGAAATTTTCCCTCTTTTAAGTAACAGAGAGGTTTTCTTTCTATTTGGTATGTTTTTCCCTGTATAACGCAAACCTATTGCTATTAAGGTGAAGATTATTGTTAACATTAGAATGATTCAGTCAACAGCTATGGGAGGAGGGGAGGGTGTGTGTGTGTGTGTGTGTGTGTGTGTGTGTGTGTGTGTGTGTGTGGTGCCAAGTGGCCATGTGTGCAGATAGGGAAGTGATATGAAATGGTTTGGAATCTTGGTAAAGTTTTAGATCAGCCGTGGGCAAACTATGGCCCGCGGGCCGGATCCGGCCCGTTTGAAATGAATAAAACTAAAAAACAAAAAAGACCGTACCCTTTTATGTAATGATGTTTACTTTGAATTTATATTAGTTCACACAAACACTCCATCCATGCTTTTGTTCCGGCCCTCCTGTCCAGTTTAAGAACCCATTGTGGCCCTCTAGTCAAAAAGTTTGCCCACCCCTGTTTTAGATGTTCCATAGTGTTCATTCAGCACCTACCTTTCAAGGGCCTTGTCAATTGACTGGAAAAACAAAGGTAAATCCTAGGAATAGCATTCCTGTTTATAAATTCTGTAACAATGTCATGTATAAATTTCATATAGTATTTTTTAAAAAGGTCATCAATCAACTACTAGTTGAAAAAATATCCAGTGTGCTTTATTTCCAACTTGTAAAATTCCCCTCCGTGGAGGCTAACGAAGACCCGGCCAAGATTCCTGCTCTAGAACTTTGGGTGAAATGCTAGGAAGGAGAGAATAACCTGCCAAAAGGTGTTTGGATAAATAGAGCCAGAAGGATGAGCAGAAGTACCTGAGAATCAAGCTCAGGGAAACCCAATACCAACAGCAGGAAGAAGTTGACTCCATTAGGAACAAAGGGACTTATTTCAAAATTTTTAATAATATTGGAGCAGCCTCATTTAACTTTATAATAGAAAGATATCTAGACATAATGGGCCAATCAAAAATACAACATTGAAGTGGAAGTCAGTTTCTCTGTCACTTCAGAGCTGTGTTGATCTTTCTTTATGTTGGTCTTTTTATTTTTCTTTAGGAGGATCTCAGTAAGTAAAGCCAGAAAACAAAGAGGCAAAGCAATTGTGTCATCACCAGCACTAAGAAAAGCCTACACATTGGGTTTTGAGAATTAGGGTCTTATTCATCCATGGTATCTTTGCCTCATTAACATGGATAATTGAAATTTGATTTTTCTCAACCAGGTTTTTTTCCTGAAAATACAAGATCTTATACTTTACCTACTAGTAATTCATTTTTCTTTACTGAGTTTACTCCTCTCAGCATTCTTACAAACTCCAAAAAAATGACCTGTGTTGTGTGTGGTTAAATGTTCAGTCAGATGGATAGATACATATGGATGAGTATGTGTTGCACAAAGACAAGTCAGCATTATTTAATCAGTGTTTGTTTGATCCGTGTAAAATGAGTATCAATGTAAGCTGCACC